TCTGTCTTCTCCCATGGTACTTCGCAAACAAGTTTTAATTCTTTTTAACGTCGAAAATCCGCGTTCAGCTTCCGACGATGTCATCGGAATGACGACTAATAGTTTAAGTAATTTAAGTACTTCCTTAAATAAATCGTTCATATTATTTGATATTATATAGTTAATTGTAGGAATAATTCCTTTTAGCAAGCGAAAATCATCACGGCTATAAATAACCTCAAGTTCAGTTCTTAAACGTTCTTTTGTAAAGAAAGGATAGCAATTTATAGTTTTTTGTAAATAATCAATTGGAAATTTGTTATTAAATTTTGGGTAATACTCATTTTGAAAGAGCAACGCTGTAGTTAGATGTTAGTTAAAACTAAAACGACTTTTTGCTTGAGTTATTAAAATATCACATACTTCTAAAGCAATAATTCTTTTTGTAATATTTGGGTCTTCGCTAGTTTTTCTTTTATTTGAATGTATTATGTCTGATTGGTTTAAAACGGTTGAACAAATTGATGACATATTATCACGTATTATATTTATTTCATTTATAAATAAATTTACCGAGTTATTTACTTGAACAGGGTCTGTTTTTCTAGCTTGGACAGAACTATACAAACAGTCAACATGTGGCATAATTTTATGAAAAATATTCAGCCAAAAAATAAAATCAGTATCTTCTAGGAGCCTTTTAATACCAGTGGCTTGATTAATTGTTTTAGCTTGTAAAGATGTTTCAATTATTTTATCCATACAAATAATCAAGTCTTCCCTGTGTTCAAAAACAGTATTAACGGTTCTTATATTAAAGTTCCATCGAGTCTGTACTGCTCTTGGCAAACGAACACCGACTACTTCATCTAACACTGATACCCTCTGTGGCGAATGAGAAAAAAACACTGGTAGTTCAGATAAATTAGAAAAAAATACACGAACTTGCTTATTTTTTGAAATTGATTGTATCATTATTAGATTCAATTGGTGAGCATAACAGTGAATAAAAAAGGCGAATGGATACTTTTCTTTTATCTTCACATTAACACCACCTTTTTGGCCACTCATAACCGATGCACCGTCGTATGACTGAGCAATCAATTTATTAGGCGATTTTTCCAGAAGTGGATCAATTAAACCAAATATAGTTTGTGATAATGCTTCGGCATTATGTCCATTTGGATTCTCAAAACCCCAAAACCGCTCAACAGGTTGACCTTGTACTTCATATCTAATAATAAGAACCAACTGAAAGATATTTGAAATATCAGTAGTTTCATCAACAATTATGGAAATAAATTCTGACTGTTCAATTTCATTTACTATTTTATTTCGACATACTGACAGAATAGAAT